AGAGAGAACATTTCAACACCAAAATCATAAGGCAATCATAGAGTAAAGGAGTGGCCATTATATTTAGCTTTACAGATGAAAATAAACATATACCCCTGTCTCTTATACACATCTAGATGTGTATAAGAGACAGCAGTTATATACAGTACACATACAGATACAGTACAGATACATACATACACGGTACACATACATATACACATACAGTACACATATATATAATAGAGACAGTACAGATACATATACAGTACACATATATGTACAGTACAGGTACAGTAAGATATACACAGTACACATACAGATACAGTATGGATACATATGCAGTACATATACATATGTGCAGTACAGTACATATACATATACAGTACATACACACAGTACACATATACAGTGCAGATACATATACAGTACAGATACAGTGCATATACTATATATACAGTACACTTATACATATAGTACACATACATATACGGTACCTATACATAGTACATATGCATATATACATATACAGTGTACATACACATATACAGTACACATACATCTACATATACTGTACATATACGGTATGTATGCAAAATATAAGGTGAAAAAATAATTTAAAAACCAAAGCTATTTAAAATTATAATAAAGCAAGAAAAGATAATAGTTTTTATGTTTTCATAGTCATCACCAAATTTCTTGATTAAAAACTGGTTGATGTTCTTTTTGAACTAGAGGGAGTGGTATGGGCCACACACAACACAGAAACAAGTATCCTCTCCCAATGCGCTGATAGTACAGTCCAGAATAAAATGTAGTACACAAGGCATTTCTGGCATCTAAGGCATTGAAGGCATCGAAGATAATCACCAGAAAGATAATTTAAACAAGCACGGTATTCACTTTGACCAAAGCCCTCAAGGGTCATATCACTTAATAGTCTCTGGTATATTTTAGTCAAGAGTAGTATAACAATACTTCCATATAAAAGTAGTTTAAAATAATGACAGTGCATCACCACATTTGAATCTGTTTTGTATCTGCACCTATGCTAGACAATGGCTGTCCTCAGATTCAGTGATATCACTTAACTTTAGCTCACAGAACAAGTAGAAACTGAGAAATTTCCCAAGCCCCTTGCTGCAGGTTAGAAGACAGTCTTCAGAGGAATTGGGATTCAGTCCCCAGGCCCTTTGAATGCTCTACTTAGACTAGAAGTGATAAATTCTGCCCATTACTGTGCCTTGTTAAATCCACCCCAACATTTGCAAAGAATTGGACAAAAGGCAGAAATAATGCACTTGTCACCACTGACCCTTTAGAGGTAGGCTTCATTATAAAACCTATGCTTTGTGAAACTGATTTTGGTCTTAACTGTATTTACATTCACTGCAGTACAAGTTTAATAACCTAGACATCATAATCATTTTAGCTCACTGGGTCCAAGGCCAGAATGATTTGGCAAAGGTAAATGGGAACATATTCTACTTGTGCATCCCAACCCTAATAATCATAGACAAGCAGGCACTTGTTGGAAGGAGAAACCACTTCTGTAAAGTATGAGAGCGGCTAAGACATTCTAGAATTCTAGAAGACAGCCAGGAATGAACCTCAAGGCTTCCTGAGACTTAATCCGCCTTGCCTCCTGTGAAGTCACACTCCTTCCTGCTTAATTATTAAAAAAATAAAAAAAAAAATTCTTCATTTACTTTACTACAGTAATGTAAATAGCAAACACCTGGTATCAACAGAATTAATGAGGCCCACTGTGGAAATCTACATCCTTATTTATAGTCACACCATGTCCAGTCAAACATATGTGACCATACTGATAATTTTACAGATAAATAAAGTAGCTTCAAATTGGACTCCTTGAGTTGAAATAAAAGTCTAATTGGTTAACATAGAAATCAACATACATATGGATGTTTTAGAGAGTCGAGCAAAATAAAAAGTAAGACTTTTGTTAAAGAATGGATCAAGCTGGATTAACCCAAGCAGGAAATAGCAGCGGAAACAAGAAGACCAAAGACAGATGTACGAAGCCTACCAAGTCTGAAAGCCAGGCCTGTATTTCACTGTTTGATGCCATCTGGTTTAGCTGGCATCCCTAGCAGCCAGAAATTTCAGGGCTTGCGAAGCTGCTTACAAAGCTGCCCCAAGTTGATGTGTGGTGTGTTTACTTTTAAACAGTGGCTGCCTTCTTTGACTGGTTTTAAAAATAGGCAAATATTCTAAAAGCAGGATGATGAATCACTGGATTGGGCCAAAAGGAAAGAAGGAAAATGACTCAGGCTGACTAGTAGCACAGCTGTTCCAAAAACATTTGGCTGAATCGTTGTAAAACATTTTGACAGTGATACCGGATCGGAGTTCCTGACAGCAGTTAAGTTTGTTTTGACAATTCCAGAAGCATAAAGTAGACTGTACAGTAGCTGTACAAGAGACCCTCCAGCAAATTTAGCTTTTTTCAAAAGAAAATAGTTGCTAGATATGTTTATAATGGGACAAAATCACAGCACAAGTATACTTTTATTAAAATCTATTTACCAAATATTTATTGTGCAAGACTGGGGCTGAGACTTATGCAAAATGAGCAAATCACTTTATCATATTTTTAATGCATTAAGGAAGTAATTTGAAGGCTTCCTCTTCAAAATGGCACTGTAGACTTACCAGACCAAGCAAAATGTATCCTAAGAAAGTTTTTAAAGGATGAAATATAAAGGAGAGAAGAGGAAAATTTTTTATATAAACAGATGTTCACTGCTTGTTTGGCAAATACAATGTGACGAAGCCAATGTCCTTAAGACAGAACTTTCCTATTGACCACCCAACCGTTGTGATGTACCATGGTACATTTGACGATGGGCTCTTTTCAACATCTATTGAGCAGCTGTTGTGTTGGTTTCAGGATTCTTTTGTTTGTAGATTCCCTTCAATTGTCTTCTCTGTGTTTCTCCATAACTTGAACAAATAGAACACATTGGGTCTATAATCCAAATCCTCCCTGTTATTTAGCAATGAGAGCTAGCAATCAGTTAGCAGAGAATATTGAAACTGGAAAGGACTAGGCAACCGTCTGGTCCAGCCCCCTCAGAGTAGAGCTAAACACAAGGACCCCAAAAAGGGAAAGAAGCTACCCAAGACTCTGTGATTCGTGGCCATGTAAGATTAAGGGGTGTCCCCCAGCCCTGGGCTCTTTCCACCATCCCACTCCGCTCTTCTGCACTTACTAGTCCACAGGTTCTCAGACTTGTATTTCATGAACCAGTAAAATTTTCCCTAAAATATTCTGGCCAGGCACAGTGACTCATACTTGTAATCCTAGCACTTTGAGAGGCCCAGGCAGGAGGATCACTTCAGGTCAGGAGTTCAAGACCAGCCTGGCCAACACAGTGAAAGCCCATCTCCACTAAAAATTCAAAAAT